CCTTCAAAAACCTTTTGACAACCACTGATTTTGGTCTCTTCGGGCCCTCGTGGAGGACCTCTTGGAGGCCTTTGGAGGCCTCTTGGAGGCCCCTGGGGCCGTCTTGGGCCATCTTGATGCCATCTGAGGCTGTCTTGAGTGCATCTTGGGCCGTCTTGGAGGCATTTTGGGGCCATCGTAGCCGTCTTGGAGGCCATTTTGGCCGTCTTGGAGGCATCTTGGAGGCCATCTGAGGCCATCTTGAGCGAAACGACATTGTGGAATCGAGGTCCTGTGCAATCTTTCCGGGTGGCCGGCGGGACGGGCCGAAGGCCCCGGGGGAGTTCTGTTGGAAAAAGAACCAAAGCCAAAACGGAAAGGATTCAGCACGCCAGGCTCCCCTGCGATGAATCGACAGGGGACGGCGGATCGAAGACGCCTACGGCGAATCACCGCCGCCCCCTGCCCTTGTGGAAGCGCCTATGTGGCCGAACGTTGAGGCCAGACCTGCCAAGCTATCGGACCATGTGTTCCCCGAATCGGTTTGGAAAGCCTTCGGGGAACACGTGGGCATCTTGAAGATCATCTTGGCCGTCTGGTGGCCATTTTTGACCCTTTCGGGCCGCCTTGGAGGACGTCTTGGAGGGCTCCTAGGCTGTCTTGGAGGCCATCTTGAGTGTCGAAGAGGCCTTTTGGGCCGTCTTGGGGGCCTCTTGGGGCCGTCTTGGGCCTGTTGGGCGATCTTTGGAGGCTCTTGGGCCGTCTCGGGCCGTCGGAAGGCCGAACAAAAGCAAATGCTTCAATCCTTCAAAAACTCATGGAACATCACTGATGTTGGCCTTTTCGGCCCTTCCTGGAGGCCCTCTTGGAAGCCTCTTAAGCCGTCTTGGGCCATCTTAGGGCCATCTTCGGCCGTTTTGGTGGGCTCCTGGCCCGTCCGACGCCGTCGGAAGCAGTTTTGGGGGCCCCTCGGGGCCGACTTGGGGCCCTCCTGGAATGCTCCAGGGCCATCTTGGAGACCATCTTGGGCGTCTTGAATGCCTCCTGGGCCGTCTTGGGGGCCTCTTGGTGCCGTCTTGGGGGGGTTCTGGGGCCATCTTGGAGGCCTGTTGGGCGATCTTTGGGCGCTCTTTGGGGGCTCTTGGGCCGTCTCGGGCCGTCGGAAGGCCGAAACGAAGCAAATGTCAACATCCTTCAAACACCAAAGGAATACACATGTGTTTGGCTTATTTCTGTCCTTCCTGGAGGCCCTCTTGGAGGCCTCTTGGGCCGTCTTGGGCCAGCTTCGAGCTAACTTCGGCTATCTTGGTGGGCTCATAACCCGTCTAACGCCGTCGGAAGCTGTTTGGGGGCCTCTCTGGGCCGACTTGGGGTCCTCTGGGTGTGCTCCAGGGCCGTTTTAGAGGCTGTCTTGTGCGTCTTGGAGGCCTCTTGGGTCGTCTTTGTGTCCTTTTGGGGCCGTCGTGGAGGCCTTTTGGGCAGTCCTGAGGCCATATTGGAGGCCTCTTGGGCGCTGTGGGGGCGATCTTGGGGGCCTCTTGGGCCGTCTTGGGTCGTCGGAAAGCCGATCAGGTGCATATACGAAAAACCTTGAACAACCTCGGGAAAATGTATGATTTTGGCCTCTTCCGGCCCTCCTGGAGGACCTCTTGGAGGCCTCTTGGGTCGTCTTGGAGGCCTCTTGGGCACCTCTTGGGCCGTCTTGGGCCGTCTTGGGTCTTGGAGGTTTCTTGGGCGGAATTGGAGGCATCTCCTCCTCTCTTCGGCGGACTTCGAGGCCATCTTGGACCATCTTGGAGGCTATCTTGGGCTAACGTGGCCATCTTGGAGGCCATCTTCAGCCGTCTTGTAGAAAGAAAATAAGAATCCTGCTCCGTGGCAGTCCTCCCGGAACCCCAGGACTCGCCGGAGCCCCAGGAGGAGTTTGTGTTGGAAAAAGAACAAAATACAAAACCGAGAGGATTCAGACCGCCAGACACCTCTGCGATGAATCGACAGGGGGCGGCGGTCTCAGTGGCGTTCGTCCCATCCCGCCACCGTGCCTGGGTTGTGGTCTGAGGCCGCTTGTATATGTGTTGGGGTGTCGTGGGAAGCCTCTCGGGGGCCTCTTGGAGGCGGTTCGGGCTCGTCTTGGGGGCCTCTTTGGGCCTCGTGGGCTATCATTTGAGCTCCTTGGGGGCCTCTTGGGCGCGTCTTGGGCGCCTCTCGGGGGCTTCCGTGGACCTCTTGGCGGCCTTTTGGGGCCTCCTCGGGGCCTCTGGGGGCACAAATATAGAATGTTCGGTTCGTGGTCCCCTGCTTGGGCTCCTCTTGGAGCCGTCTTGGGGCCCTCTTGGGCCGTGTTGAGCGCTCCTTGAGCGCTCCTTGGGCCATCTTGGTGCCCTCTTGGGCAGTCTTGGGGCCCTCTTGGAGGCGTCTTGGGCTGTTCTTGGACGGTCTTGGGAGCTTCTTGAGCCGTCTTGGTGCGTCGGAAACCCGAGAATGCGAGAAGGCTTACATTCTTCAAAATCAATAGTAAAATGTCCGATTTGGGCTTCTTAGGGCTCTCTCGGGAAGCCTCTTGGAGCGCTCTTGGGGCCTCTTTGGGCCCTCTTGGAGCGCTCTTGAAACCATCTTCGAGCGCCATAGACCACTCTGGGCCTCGGCAGTGCGAATACGGCGTAATTGGCGAAGGTTTATGGCTTCGGAGACGCGGCTGTTGCATACTTTACGTTACGGGGGTTTGTTGCCTCGGGGACGCAACAATTGAGTAAGTTACGAGGGTTTGTGGTTCGGGGACACGATCATGGTGTATTTTAGGAAGGATTATGGCTTCGGGGGCGCGAATCTTAAAGTAGTTTTACGTGTCCCACGCCCCCCCGAGATTTCAGGCAGCGCGATCCGGGCGTGGTAAATTGGGCGGTTTGGGGCTCCCCCCCTCGCGCGGACTTCAGAATCTTACAGTAGGAAGGAGAAAGCAGTACTGTACAATCGGAGATTTGAAACTTCAATGGGTGCATGGAGCAGCACACTTCGGCCTACAGCCCGGTGGCCCCACAAGGGGACCGGCGGATTGTCTGTATGTTGTGTATGTTTGTTGCCAGTTGTTCATGTGACTTCCGCATGCTCTTTTCGTGTGCCGTGTACGCTTGCGTGGCATGCTTACTATTTCGAGTTGTGTGGTTGTTCTTGTTGTGCGTGTTTGTGTCATTTACGTTTGCTTGCATTTGGGACATGGTCGTATGACATAGTTGTTGGGTCTTCACGGATCTCAGTTGTTTGCTGTCACCAGCATGTCCGCCATGCATGTCTTCTGCCCCTGTTAAGCATGCTATGTATTGCTTGGCATGTATGCTCGTTTGCTTTGTCTTTTGTGCGGCAGACTTACGCGTGCTACTTCCCGAGGCCGATGCTGCATCCTGCGGGCGAATGTTGTTGACTGCCTGGCAGATTCTGGTTCTTAGGTTCCAAGGAACAGAGGCCCGCTCGCGGCGGCCAGGCCGAAGGGGTCTCCAAGTGCCCTTGAGAACCTTGCCTCGCCAGCTCAGCATGTCGCTGCCGCCAGGCCCAGTGCACCCGAGAATCCCGCCTTGCCGCGCCCTGCCGGGGAGACGCTATGGGAAAGAACGCTTTCTGCCGCTGCTGGCAGGGTGTGTGCGTGTGTGTGTGTGTGTGTGTGTGTGTGTGTGTGTGTGTGTGTGTGTGTGTGTGTGCGTGTGTGTGTGTGTGTGTGTGCGTGTGTGCGCGCGTGTGTCAACGACGACGGCGACGCACGCTGCACGACGACCACGACGCCGACGCCGCCGACGCCGAAGACGCCGACGCCGATGACTCCGACGACGTCGATGGCAACCACGACGACGATGAAGACAACGAAGACGACCACGACGAGCAGAGCAGAATAGGCGTAGAGTAGAGCATAATAGGATTAAGTTAGAGGGTTGAGTAGAGTCGAGTAGAGAAGGATAGGATAGGATACGGCAGGGTAGAGTCGGGTAGAGTAGAGTAGAGTAGAGTAGGGAGTTATGTCTCAGTTTAGAGTAGAGTAGAGTAGGGTAGAGTAGAGTAGGGCCGAGTAGATAATAATGTATGGGTAGAGTAGAGCCGAACGCATAGTAGAGCAGAGCAGGACTGAATAGAGTAGAGTAGAAGTAGAGTGGAGTAGGGTCGAGTAGACTCGGGTAGAGTAAGAGCAGAGTAGCGTATGTTAGGGTCAACCATGGTAGAGTGGGGTAGAGTAGAGTAGGGCAGAATAGCGTAGAGTATAATAGAGTAGAGAAGAGGAGAGTGGAGTAGAAACGAGTGCAATAGAGAAGGACTAGAGCAGACTAGAGTAAGAGTAAGGGGCAGTCTATCATATAATGTTACGGTACGGTCGGCCAGAGTAGGATGTGGTAGGGTAGATTAGGGCAGGGTAGAGTCGACTAGAGTAGAGAATCGTCGAATAAAGAGTAGCGTAGAGTAGAGTAGGGGAGGGTAGAGTAGGGTAAAGCACTGTAGGGCCCTAGTAGGAGACTGATCGAACTGGACCGACCCCTCGTAGCATCATATCAGACCCTGCGCCTGGCGCGGGCGCTTGGTGCGTCGCCGCCGCCGCCGCCGCCGTCTTCGTCGTCGTCGTCGTCGTCGTCGTCGTCGCCGGGGGGGGGGTGCTCTGGGCCCCCCGAATAATTTTTTAGGGGGTGGGGAGGCTCTGGAGCCCCTAAATATGCTCCCGGGGAAGGGTTGTGGGGGTTTCGGGTGGGGGTTAGGAGTGGCTCTGGTTTCTGACCCGCCCCCTGGGATTGTTCTAAGGGTGGGTGGGGAAGGGATCCCCTGGTTTCTGTCCCCCCTGGTGCATATCATTTTTTCATGCCAGTGGCGGTGGACCGTGCGTCCTCCGTCATGGCGTCACATCGTGCAGGCACCCCGACTTCCGACATCCGCAGACATCTGGGATAGACGTCAAGAACTCTGCCACCCGCTTTCATTGGCTGTCCATCCATCTCCCTCGCAGTGCTCTTCTGATGACCTCCCAGAGTTCCAGCGCATGGTCTCTCCGTAGCCATTTTGGCTCAAGGCGCACCGCAGGGCGCTGCCCTGCCCACACACCCCTCTCCTCCGCCTCCCTCCTCCTCTCTTGCGCGGCCATGGCGGTCGCGTCTCCAGAGCCACCCCCGCCGAGGAGAGGGATCGTGTACGACAAGTGGCCTTTTCGGATGGATGTCGACGTGGAGTACCAGGACTGGGTGCTCGTGCTGGTCTGCCTACTGCTGGCGGCGAGCTGGGCGCTTCCCTGCATGTGCGGCCACCTCCGGAGCCCCTTGGCCCAGTGCTTCTCGAAGTGGGTGTACACCAGGCTGCACGTATTCTACTGCGGTCTGTTGTATGTTAGCCTGATCGTGCTGATGTTCACTCTGGTGGTGCTGCCAGACTGGACGGTGAACTCGTTCCTGGAGTATTTGGTACTCTTCGTCGTGTGGGTCCTTATACACCTGCAGAAGATGGTCACATCGACCGTGATTATCATTGCGTTTTACACCGTGTTTCGCTTCCGTGAGCGGCTCGCGCTCGCCTCTGGTTTCGAATACCTCACCGTGTTCCACTGGGACTGGAGAGATTATGTCGGCTTTGTCGGCAGGAAGCGGCGCCCCATCGAGGTTTTCATCTGGAAAGTCGAGGGGCTGCACAGTTCGTCTGGGAAGGTGCTCAAAGCGAACGACCTGTACATCGAGTGCCACATGGGACACAACGAGCCCGTGCGCACACGCGTGCACAACAACGCTGGAAGCGGATGCACCATACAGCAGTCGTTTCAGTTGAACATCGATGAGAGCAGCAGACGTTCGCTGATGACGCTCATGGTGAGAGACCAGGCGCTCATGGGTAGATCGTCCGAGCTAGCGCGGCTGATGCTCTCCACCCACGAGATCTGCGGCATCGAGGACAAGACGGGCAAGCGCCACCAGCTGTTCACGTACAGTGCCGAGCACTTCGTGGAGCTGAAGCTCTCGCCCGCCGGCACGATCTGGGTGGCGATCGCCCCGGTCGAGGAGGGGGACGCCGAAGAGCGGGCCCTGCTGATGACAGATGACGAGGATGCCCTCGTGACCTGCTGAGGGGCTCCGAGGGGCACTGACCGCGACGGCCGTGACGTTCGCGCCGCCAGACTTGCTGACCGCTGTCTCGAGCGCCCTTCAAAAACAAAAGCAAAAACAGCAAAAACAAATGCCAGCGCAAGGTCTCGTCGTTCACGGCGCACCACGACCTCTGGATGCTGTCCACGCAGCACCTGCTCGTGGCCGCGGTGCCCCTCTCCCCTCCTCGCTCGCCGTCGCCCTCCGGCCTCCTGGTGCTCACCGTGTTCGTGGTGGTGGTGGTTGCGGCGGCGGTAGTGTTCGTCGGCTTCGCCGCCGCCGCCGCCTCTGCCACCGTCGCCGTCGGCGCCAGCTCGAACCAGGAGACCGCGGGCCCGTGCGGGCGTCGGCCGCCTTGTCGTGCCCATCCCGCGCCCATCCCGCGTGTCGCTCCCGTGCCCGCGCATGCTCGGTGGTCAGAGTGTCGGCGTCTCGGCACACAGGGGCCTCGTCAGGACGGGGCCTCGTCAGCGCGGGGCCCTTCCGTCGTTGGGGCAGTTTCGATCTGATCGGTCCGATTCGATGCCGCCAGGTGCAGATCGGTGTCTCTACGACGCAGTTGTGCATCACGGCGCGGCCGATCCGATTCCATTATTCGTTGTTGATTGCTCCTGCCATGTGAGTCGTGCAGTGTCGAAGCGTCCCGGCTTGCCTATAGGCCCACCAGAGATGTTCTAAGAACTTTTCTAGTGGTCTGCACGAAATTTGATTAGAACATGTGTTGCTGAGACCCTGTTGTTTTAACACGTCGGCTTCATGGTTTATGAACCTTGTTCTTGTTTGCCACATCCGAAGTAGGGCTCTTGCTTTCTCTGCAGACCTCCGCGCAGGAACCCCACACCTCACACCCTCCTCCTGTCATCGTCATCCCGTCATGACCACCGATCATCATGATCACTCGCTTATTCTCTTGCTTATTCACTCATGACCCACCGTCATAATCATAATCATAATCATCATCATCATCATCATCATCATCATCATCATCATCATCATCATCATCATCATCATCATCATCATCATCATCATCATCATCATCATCATCATCATCATCATGAGAGTGCGGTGCACAGCATTGATCGTTCCTCCCCGCGGCCGTTGTCAACCCTCAAGGTTTTTTGCTGCGCAACAGGAACGCACGGACCGTCCCCGCGGTTGATGATCTGGGGTTTCCTTGCCTCGACCGCGTCGGTGCAGGTCGCGAACAGCAGCGTGGTCACCGCCTTCTCGGCTTGGGTCCTGCGGGGCGTCTTCTCGGACGCCGCGGAGGCCGCACGAACGGCGGGGAGAGCGGAGGTCAGGTGCCCAGACATCCCGGAGCCGATCTGCCACTGCCACTGTCAGTGTGAGGCGGTGTCGGCTCCCAGCGGCGGGGGTCACCAGGCGTGGCAGCTCATCGCGTGTGCAGTGGTCTGCCTGTTCTTCTCGTTCGTGCAGGTGGCCGTCACGTGCGTTCAGTATGGCGCTAGTTGGGCTTCCAGTCGGGCCACCAGCTCCTCCAGGTCCTCGAGTCCGGGGAGCGGACGGGTGGCCCTTGCCGACGGGACCAGGGGGAGCGGCGCTTCGACGGGCTGTGGTGAAGTACGCGGGCGCGGGCGAGGACTTGTCACTCGAGCGGGGCCTCCTGAATGATATAGTAGGAGGGCTCGTCGCGATTGCGACCCCAGACTTCGATGTGCACGACGAGGACATGAGTGATCAGAACGTGTTCGAGATGGCGAGGCTCTTCGGTGACAACGGGGAGCTGCCGCTCGGGCTGGGTGGAGCGCGCCTGCACCGCTTCCAGCAGCCGCCGACCGACGCGGAGGTGGACCAGCTGCTAGCCGAGGCGGTCGTCGCCCTCCGCGGCGGAGGGGGAGTCGCGGGTGTCGCGGGCGGCCCAGCCGGCCGCGGGGCAGGCGCCGCTGCGGGCGGCGCTGGGCCAGCGGCCCCTGCCGTCGCGTGGGTGCTCGCGGAGCACGTGGACGGCCATAGCATCGGCGAGATCGTCACGATGCCCGCAGGCGCGGCCCAGGCGAACGGCTACGGACTCATGGTGCTGCCGAATACCGAATCGGAGGTGAGGGGGTGAGATCGAAGTGGAACGGAGAGCCCCCCTACCGGGAAATCGATTTCGGTTTCGTGTTCGCGCGTGCCGTGCGCGCGGGCGAGGCGAAGCTGCGTGGGCCACGTGGGCGGGCGAGAGGAAAGTCTCCTGTGGCTGAGGCGCGGCCGGACCAAATGATTCTCCACCGGGCGGCCGGTGGCGCGCGGTGTCCCGCCGGTGTCCCGGTGGTGTCCTCTGTGGCTGAGGCGCGGCCGGACCAAATGATTCTCCACCGGGCGGCCGGTGGCGTGCGGTGTCCCGCCGGTGCCCCGCCGGTGTCCCGTCGGTGTCCCGATGATGATGATGATGTTGATGATGATGATGATGATGGTGCTGATGATGATGATGGTGATGATGATAACGATAGAGAGACCGAGTGTGATATCGATAGTGAGACCGAATGTGAGATCGATTGTGAGGTCGGTTGTGATATCGATAGTGAAATCGATAGTGAGACCGGAAGCGAGATTGATTGTGAGATCGATTGTGAGATCGATAGTGAGATCGATTGTGAGATCGATTGTGATATCGATAATGTGATCGATAGTGAGACCGAATGTGAGATCGATCGTGAGATCGATAGTGAGATCGATAGTGAGAGCGATCGTGAGACCGAATGTGAGATCGATGGTGAGATCGATAGTGATATCGTGAGTGAGTTCGATAGCGAGACCGAATGTGAGATCGATAGTGAAATCGTTAGTGAGATCGATAGTGAGATCGATTGTGATATCGATAATGAGATCGATAGTGAGACCGAGTGTGAGATCGATTGTGAGATCGATATTGAGATCGATAGTGAGATCGATAGTGAGACCGAATGTGAGATAGATTGTGAGCTCGATAATGGTATCGATAGCGAGATCGATAGTGAGACCGAATGTGAGGTCGATAGGGAATTCGATAGTGAGACCGAATGGGAGATCGATAGTGAGATCGAGAGTGAGACCGAATGTGAGATCGATAGTGAGATCGATAGTGATATCGAGAGTGAGATCGATCGAGTGCGACGTGGGCCCCTCCCCCCCTCACTTCCTTATCACCCGAAGGGTGGTCGTATAGGTATGCAGATCCCGCGGCCCGTTCTGGTCAAGCAGCTGAATAACTACCAGGCAGAGATCGACGCGTTCTGCCAGGAGTGGATCAAGTGGTGCCGAGCAGCTACGGCGACGCATGGTCAGGACCAGGCGGTCGGTGACGACGCGCGGACGCTGTCGGTGAAGCACGGGCCCGACGGGACTCGAAGGCGAGAGTTCAGGCAGTCGGTGCAGGAGATGACCGTGGCGGAGTTCGACGACTGGCCGCTGAGCGGCCCTCGGACTACGGAGTGGATGTGCCGCGAGATGATCAAGTTGGCTAAAGAGCCACGGGCGCAGCGCTCAAAGTGGCTCTCGGAGGCAAAGATACCGGATGGAGATCGCTCAGTCCACGAGGACGCTAACCTGGCGCTGGTGCAGGAGCTCGCGGTGACGCACGACGGGCTCAACGTGATGAGCCTCGCCGTGCGCGGAGGCGGTGGCCCGCAGGCGCCAGTTGATCGCCGAAGCTCACCACGCCAACCCGAGTGCTCCGAGCTACGAGGGAGCAGCTCATTTCATGGGCGACGGGACGCGAGCTGGGGGAGCGCTGGTGTCACCCGCGCTGACTGCCCATGTGTCGGACCGGCTGCGGGCTGAGGCGGCCATCTCGAAGGAGAAGCGCAAGGCGGCGGAGGCGCGCTCGCTTGCACCTTGGCGCGGCCGCGGACGTGGCGGCCGGGGTGGAGGAGCTGGCGCCGACGCCGCCGGGGCTGGCTAGTCTGAAAGATCTGAGGTGCGGATTGGCTCGGCCGCGCCTCGGCGCCCCCCCAGAGCCTGTGTGCAGCGCGTGGAGGGCGGGCTTCGACTCATCCCGTTCGCCGCGACTACCTGCCCCGAGTCATGGCCAAGCCGCGCAGCGAGGCCGCTTTTGCTGAGGGGGAGAACGTCCCGAGCAGGTACCGCGATATATTCCCTTTGCCTCGACTCGCCGAGGGGCGACGACGCGGCCTGCGACGGATGTGCCGTTCGACGACGCGACGCCTGACACGTCGGTGGGCTGTGGCCGCTGCAGTCAACAAGTCGGTGGACGGTCTCAACTCGATGTACCTTGGTGCTCGTGATGTGCCCGCCCCTCCTGCCGTCTCAGACCTGATGACGTTGCCGCTGCGCCAGCGCGCTGCCCTTGGTCATCTGATGGGGCGCGTTCGCGAGCTGGGCCCTAGGCCCTAAGCCTCCGAGTGTCGCCCGCCCAGGAGCCCTTCAGGAGCTTCGGGTTTTTCGGCATGACTATGCAGGGGACCTGGGGCAGGGTGCCCGGGCCCCCATGGTTCTGGAGAAACTTTCGCTTCCGGACGTGGAGCGCTCGCCTGTTGAATTGGAGTCAGTCTTGGTAGGTTTGCCTCAGGAATGCCTTCGGAATTTTGAAGACAAGATGCTCGTCGGGGCAGCGGTCTGGAGTCAGCTGTCCGACGAGGCATCCCGAGCGCCCCCTTACGCGGACCCGCTTTTGAAGACCTCTTGGGGTTTCAAGGCTTCTGCCTCCAGGATGGCCTCTCGGGGACTTGTGCGGTTCACTCGGCGCCCTCCTGCTCGAATCGGGGCGTTCACGGTTTTAAGAAGTCGGGGATGCAACGCTTGGTTCTCGACTGCCATCAATGTAATCTTAGGTCCGCCCCTCCTCCGCACACAGAGCTAGGTGGTTTAAGTTCTTTGAGTGACCTGGAGATCCCCGTAGGTCAGGCCCTGTATTGGGCTGAGGGTGACATCAAGGACTGTTTCTACGAGCGCGGGATCTCCGATGATCTTTCAGATTTTTTCGCGTTCGAGGTTGATGCCGTCGTCGGGGATCTTCTGGAAGCTGGCGTATCGGGGGAGTTATTGAATGAGTTCGGATTGGATGAGCAGGTATCAATGTGCTTGACTGTCCTGCCCATGGGTTTTACCTGGTCGTTCTGGTTGGTCCAAGAATATCACATGC